GTGTGTGTGTTGTTGTGTGTGTGTGTGTGTGTGNGTGGNGGGGGGGCGGTTACCGTCCAGTGCTACTGTAGTTTGGAGTTCCTGCGTTCCATTCTCGGATCTGATCTCTGGTTTCTGCCTTGACTCTCTTCGCAGCAGGTTCCTGGTTCGCGGCTGGGCTTCGCGCACTAGCACTCCCGCCGGTGGGGGCGCTGATGAAACGGCTTCGGAGTCGAGATGTCAAGGTTTCTAGAAGATCGGCAAAGCGGATGCCAAGATGAACATCGTCCACCACGCAGTTGCGGAGTGCATCTACGGTGGCGTCCATCAGACCTATACTGATCTCAACATCGTGCTTCGATGCTCCGAGTGCGAAGGTTTTCAGTAGGAACATTGCGCCACTGATGATGCGGAAATATGTCCGAACAGGAGCGTGCTTGAGATACTCTCCTGGCAGAAGTCCTTCCACAACCGTCCTGAGGAGGTTTCGACATCCGTCAACAACTTCTCTCACGTAACCTTGATCTGCTGCACCGAATCCACCGAGTCTCGCGAGCGGTAATTTCCCATAGTAGTTCTGTGTTTCTGGGGATAGCGGCAGCGCTCCGGCTGCCGACCCACTTCCCGCATTGCCCGCCGTTTGGTTCCCCGCGTTGTTTGTACATCTTTCGACAACAGCCTGAAGAGACAGGGAATTGACGTATATTCGTACGTACTCATACTCAATAGTGAGGATGTGTCGAATATACGGAGGGAGGCGAAACCGCTCAAATTCTGCCTTCCAGGTGCGGAGCATTGGCTGAAAATCCTTCAGTAACTCGATATAACTTCCATCTTGTATGATTTTGGTCGTATACTGCCTGGACTTGAATATCTTTTCGTTGATAAGACGCATCGTATTGCTGATTCCTGCCCAACAGTGGATTATTTGGTCGTCGAGTTCCAAGTCGGGTATGTAGTTGAAAGTATTTGAGACGCTGGTGCTGGTCTCAGGGGTCTTCCCATCCAATGATAGCTTCCTCTTCCGCGGTGCAAAAACTGGATCTCTGTCTCGCAAGTTTTCAGGGACCATGTTTGTCCATCCGAGGCGGCCAGCGAGTTGCGTGACGTAGATTAGCAGCAATCGTTTGATCCTTGCAGCTCTTAATCGATATGCTTCATCTTCGTACTCTGGTCTTGTCATTTCCCCTCCTTCTGCCAATAATTCTTCGATGTTGTCAAAGACCCCTAGTTCATAGGCGAGGCCCATTGCATTGCTCAATAGCATCCAACACATTCGATCACTTCTCCATGCTGGTTCTAACCAACTCTCAATCCTCTTACCACCTACACCCCCAGGCAATCGGTGGCCATTCTCCTCGTCATAGTTACTGTAAGTATCCGGCGCGTCATATGCAGGAATCATCAGTTCGTCTGTGGCTTCAGGAGGAGGGAAGTGGAGTGCACGTGGGTGCCACTCTGTCAATATCATGAGACTTTCGATGGTACCAAGTGTCCGAAGACTGCCTTTCCGCAGACCTCGCCAAGGTGCTGTGCTCGAGGTTTGCGCTTCGGCGCCCGATCCACAGAACCCACCACCAAATGCCTCTTGGCCCCACAAACATCGTTCAATCATCCCTCGAAGGTAAGGCCATAACTGCTCGTGAATTGCGTGAGATCTGCAATGGCCGCCTGTACCTGGAATCTTTTTATAACGTGTTGCTATCGTCAGGAGGGTGACCGTAAGGATAGGCTCTTCGGTGAGAAGTGTGGGATGAGTCCCAGGGTATTGAAAAGTAGGAGGTGAAATTGGTGTTAAAGGAGAAAGATATTCGTAGTAACTGAGACAGTGTCAGTCTAAATACTTGTGGAAGCATAATTTGAACATACTAATCAATGTAATCAATAGCCTCGGCGGGTGTAAACCACCCGGCACGAACAAACCTAAATCGAGACCAAGCTTTGATAGCATCCTTATAACCTTGATCCTTGGTTCTATCTGGTCGACCTGTCGCTTCCGTAACTAGGGCGGGGTCAATGGCGGGGTCTTGCACGTCTCGAGGGCGCATGTTGTTCGATTGAAAAGGGGGATTGGAGCTTCGCATTTGTGACTGTTGACTCTGATCTCCAGTACTATTATTCCCTAACATAGGGGGCAGCTGGCTACTGCTATTCCTAGCGTGTCTCGTATGATCGGGACTATAGAGGCGTTAGTTCATGATCCCTCGACAAATGGAAACCATGTACCTATCCGTTGCAGCCTTGTATAGAAGGTCCAGTGCATCGTGCGGTCCGTAAACCTCCCTCCGCATGACCTCTTGGGCTTCAAGATTTTCCAATTGCTCATTGGAGCCACGGTCACGTTGAGACGTGTCCGAGGAAGCTTGCTGAGGTCGTCGCAGAGGTTGCGATCTTCCAATCGACCCTCCAGGAGTCAACGGGGGGCCCGGCAGAGGAGTTCCATCCGCATATGGCGCTGCCGATCGAGAAGAGCTCGGAGCGCCCATCGAGGACTGTCGTATCGAGCCTGGCGGAGAGGTGTGCACCATCTTTCTGCCATTGCGAATTATGTAGTCGTCCCCAAAGTCATAGCCGTCGAGACTGCCTTCGCCACCATCATCGTTCTTCCTCTTCCTCCTCGTCGCGGAAAAGAAACACTCCTTGCTCTCTCTTCGACATCGCACACATGGTGGATCGCCTGGATTGTCAACACTTCCCAAGTCGCATTTGACCTTGCGCCGCCGACACGGTATGCAAGCCTGGTACACACGTTTGTGCTGTGGCGGTTTCTGCTCAACTGAGGGCGGCTCATTGTTGGGTCCGTCAGAGGTGTCTGGACGCGGTTGGTATTGCGACGCTGTCGCCGACATGGTCAGAAGTGTGTGGGCTATATCTCGCTGCGCCTCGGGTTGCGACGGGTTAGGCTGGCGACGTCTTGTCTCGGAGGCTCCGTGCGGGCAAGAAACTTAAAATTCCGATATCAGATATAAGACAGGCCTCTATTTTTCGCAGGTTATCGCCGCATCTTTCGTGCCGATCAGAAAATGGGCGTATAAAACGAGGGTATTTTTTGCGGTTGGTTCTTCAGCGTTTGTTTTTAACCTGCCATCTTGGTCTTGGGTTCGTATCACACGAGATAAAAACCTGCTTAGTCAGGCGGGGTCAACAAGAATATTATAGTTAGGTAACTATTTGGTAAATCCTGAGTATTTGTACACTACAGATAGATAAGGTATACCATAGATTCACAGGATTTTGGCTATGGTACAGTTGATTTGCCTTGCATTTTTTGAAGGCTTCCCCGAGTGGCATAAACCCTGGTTTCGCGCGCACTTGTTGTCCGGCACATAGGTAGATAGCGAGATAGGTAGCCGCCGAGCCTCAGTTCCCCCTCAGTCACGTGGCCCTATTCTTGCAAATCCGCTCCTGCTACCAGGAAGCCTTCTGTCTCTGGCTTGCTTGGTCACATAACGAGTTCCTTTATAACCGACAGGGACCTCGTAGAGCGGATGTGAACTTGGAGGCTGAGACTTTTTGGTCACTGCGTTTTGCATTCTTTGGTCCTTGAGACCCCTTTCGAATCCTGCCCCGGGATCCCTACATCACCAGTTGTCGAAGTTCCCAAATCCTCCGGACTTGATTTTCTTCTTCACAGGCTCCTCATATACATCTTCTTCGATGACGCCTTGGCTTTTAGTTGTATCTGCGGAGGCCTTCAGGTATTTCCCAACACCGCCGGATTGCCCACTCTGAACGACCGTCCCATCATCTCGAATTCGTTTACCAGTCCAGGTCGTCTTGTCATCCTCTGTCCCACCTTGCTTCATGATCTCCGCCTTCTCCTTCTCGGCCTCATCCTTTTCGCGTTTTTGTTTCTGGAATTCTTCGAATGGATCGATAAACACCACGACACTCTCCATGACAATGTCATCTATTGGCCGATCAGATCCATCCACGGGAACATTTTCGAGCTTTTGTAGGACTTCCAAGCCACCAACGACGCGGCCAAAGATGGTATGCTTCCGATCAAGGTGTTTTGCAGGCCTGTATGTAATGAAGAATTGACTCGAGTTTGTGTTCTTTCCCTTATTCGCCATGCTCACAATACCCCTTGCATCATGCGTCAAAGGCCCATCAAACTCGTCTTGAAAATTCTTGCCCCAGATGCTCGTGCCCCCTTTGCCGGTGCCAGTTGGGTCACCACCCTGGATCATGAAGTTCCTAATATTCCGATGGAACTTGATCCCATTATAGTAGCCCTTTTTCGCCAACTGTACAAAATTCCACACAGCTCTGGGGGCAGTTTCGGTCTGCAACTCAATGTTAAGCGCACCTAGATTCGTCTCGATTCTAGCATATCCCTTAATCTTGACCCTCTTAGGCTTGAGCATGTATTCTTCATCGGTGAGTAGTGCTCTTTCACCGCTTGTCTCTGGAGTCAGACCCGTACTCGTAAAACTTGCTGCAGCCTTCCCGGTTGTATACTGTGCTGCGTTGTATGCCAGTTTCTTCTCCTGTAACATTGATTGTTTCGGTGTAGTGTGGCCTGAGCTAGTCTTCGTCACTGCCTTTGAGCGATTTACATCCCCGAGGGCAGCCCTCTCTCTTCTTGCCTTTTCGACTGCTTCCTTAGCCCTCAAGATTTTGTCTCCAACGCGACCCAAAGCGTCAATATTCACGCCACCACTCTTCCTCTCTTCCTCTTGTTCCTTAGTTAAAACGCTGGTCCCTTCCTTTAGGAACTGGAACTTGCTGAGGTCCCTGCTCTCGATATTCTGCGGATCTTGGAGGGTAATTATGTCGGACCTGCCGAATTCTCGATCGTCCACAAGATCCTTCCACATCTTGGCCTTGATATTCAACCTCTCCACAGTTTCCCAAGCAAATACATTTGCTTCGCTACCATGTCTGATAGCGACTATGTGCGTATTGTCTGTGAAAACCTTGAATGTGACCGGGTCAACCATCTCCCCAAGTCCATCACCGGCCCCTCCACCACCATCGTTTGCGTCCGTATCCCCATTGCGCGCAAAGTTCAGCTTGATCAAATCTTTGTCCTTGAGCGGCTTCCCTGTTACTGGGTTCGTCCCGTGCTTTTCTAACCATTGACTTATGACCTCGACATCAAATATCGTGCCCTCTGCTGTGCAGACTGGATGTTTGAAGGGCTGCAGACTTGCGGCGCAGAAATTGAAAGGTAGCCTCCTAAATGATCCGTCCGCGGCTTTCTGGGAGGCATTCGGACCTGCGCTAGCGGAATGTTCAGAGTGTGTGATCTAGCATTTTGGATTAGCAAATGCAGGTTGAACTTGCGAGGTAGACATACATAGAGCTTATCAGTACCTGATTTATTGCGCGATCAGTAAATCTCTTCTATTTCTGTATCAGCAGGAATGCGACTCACCTTTTCCCATCTTGACTTTTGAGGTTTGAAGGTCTCCACGATTTTGGAGCGATGGGTTATCAAAACAATGGAGAACATTTTAGGTTTAGCGCTAAACTTTATCTCATACATCAACCTACTAGGTAAGCGACCCCCTTTAACCACACTTCACTTCACCTCCCCTTTCAACAGCAGATCATACACTTGATTTCTTTAGTAGTCTGTACTTGGGTAGTTTAAAAGCAAGTAAGGTTTATTTTGGGAGTGATAGACTCTATGTGATGACTAGGTTATACCTTAGTGGGCCATCCCTCTCACAAGAGAGCTCTCCTAGAGGGCGATCAAACTCCTCTAAGATGTGCTTTTACTGGACACTGATTGAGGTGGTTATAATTGCTGCAATGTATTTGCTTTACTAGGAGTGTTGATTGTTTTGAATGATACCTACACACCAAGAATGTTTTGTGTGTTATGCCCATGATCCTTAGCGTTAGCCTCCCGATCGATACTCAACTTACCTTACCTTTACCTTGGAGAATATCTCTCTGAGACTAGGCAAGCAATTGTCTCCTATGTTGCGACTTGAAAGCCGCATAAGAGTCTTAAACCTTTGTCTTTAACATTTTGTGTATGGAACTCAAGAAGTCATGTTTGTGTTTTGAGCATATGCACTTCAAGTTTTGGCTGTTATATATCATCGCCTTAGATGCTTAGAGACATCCATCTTAAGCGTGGAGAGAATAGCTAGTCAATAGCTCCTCTATATATCAGATTGAACTGAACTTCAGGAGAAGTGGCTTGGCAAGATAAATGTTCTTTGCATCAAGAGTGAATTGCCGGCAGTAATTCGAAGCAAGCTTCACTCCTCGTCCGCTCTCACGTCACCGCCCCTAGGCGAAAACCAAGAGCTTCAAAAGCTCCAAAACTTCATAATATGATAATAATTGAAAGCGCGTCAAGGGCGAGGTGAAAAATAGCAAAAGATTCGATTTGATGACCTACCAACTCCAACCCGAAGGTTCCCCAGTGGAGCTCGAACCTAACCACTTGCGCAGTTCATCCTCACCGTCTCATAAGTGGTACTCGGGGTTGGGGAACCCCATCTGCAACACGCTCGAGAGTCACGGTGAATTGAAACAAAACTCCTTATTGAAATACATAAGGTACACCTCTAGACCCCAACCACGTGAACCAAGTACACACTTCACTCATGCCCGTGACCTTACGCGTACCCTGATGCTTTTATGACTTCTTATATAAACAAACCACCTTGTCTTATTTAACTCCATACTCTCCATCAACTAGCATTCTCCCAAACTTTGACTCTTCCCCCAGCCTTCGATATCCTCCATAGTTTTGGGCAATCATGTATAAAGAATCACAAGCAAAGCGGACGTATAACAACACCAACTTTCGAGTTAAGGAGATCTATGCCCGGTACTGTAGGAAACCTACTGGTGAGCCCCTTCTTTGCGGTTTCATTCTTCGCGTCTCAACCTTTCCCAAGCAAACGAGCTTCGAGCAATCGCAGAGTTTCCCTTAGGGAAGTTCGATGATCTCAATGGCAAGTCAGAATCTGCCATACCGATTTGGCATTCTCTTGAGAGATCTGAGTGCGATCGCGACGTGTCTTTGCTCCAGGAGGCTTGACAGCTTCTCTGGGAATAGACCTTCAGACAACCTCATTACCTGGATACCAATTGCTTCACTTATCCCAATGAAATCCCCAAAGATCGGCTGCTCTTGCACAGAGCTATATCTTCACAATAGACACCATCTTGCAATATGTTATTTCTGCAATCAATGTAAGTGCAGACTCGATACAACCTCCTCACCATGAAGCTTTGAATTAGAAGAGAAGTTTGAGAGGAGATGAAGAGGAAGATGAGCAGTTAGGATCAGACGCCAGTCGGATGATAATCGATCTGTTGCAGCGGCCAAGCGTGCGAAGCCAAACACTGATGGCTTACATGACTGCATACGGACATACTCCCATCTCCTACCCTTCGATCTTCTGGCGTACAAACAAATGGCCATGATGGAGAGGACAGACACTCAGTTGGTGCAAAGAGAAGACATGATGATTACCTATGTACAGGAGATGGAGAAGAAGAGATCGAAGGAAGGAATATGTGAAGGCAAGATTCGATGGCCTCTTCTATTATAGAGGTGCTTGTGATGATTCATGTTTCGAACTTGTACGTGTACAGATCAACAATACCGTGATGGAGAGTCTTCGGTGCAATAGTCTGGCTTTGCGGCTTTGTGGATTTCAATAAGGACTATCGGCGATGATGGGAGTGTTTCAATAGGCTAGTCAATGCTTTGTATTGATTCAGAGAACAGCAAGACTCTATTCAATGTCTTGACTGTTGCTTTAAGGTCTATAATATTGTCTTTTTCCCCCTTCCTTTTAACCTTTTAGATCTCCGGAGGAATACATTCAGGAGGCCCTTTACTTTCATCCGTACTAGAAAAGCATCGGTGCTTAGATCATTTTTTGTCTAATTGTTCTGCCTGGAGGCAGGAAAACAAAGGAAAACAAAGACTCTGGGTATAGGAAACGCTCCCATGCTAACATTAACCTCATACGCCATATACTCGTGCCACATATATACATGGTTATGTCCTTCCCTCATTACCGGCCATATTGCTGCTGTTGCAACTCCACATCCCTATTTCTATTGCTTCGGATAATCGCCATCACAATCCTGCCAATGATCGTCTTCTTGGCGATCTTCAGTGCAGTCTGTCCGACGGCCGCAGATTTTGACGGTTGTTGTTGACGCTGATATTGAGAATCATATGGCGCGGTATATGGAACGGCATCCGCGCTGTCAACCTGTAGGGTGCCTTGGTAGATTTTGTTCTTCTGGAGCTTGGGCAGAGTAAGGCCGATAGCCTCGTAGATGACCACAATAGCAAACTCCTCGAGCAAGGCGAGACACAACAAGGCAGTGACGTTCCCGGTGAGGACATTGAAATCCTTATTTCTGGTAAAGGTGCTCAAGATAGAGTAGATGAGTCGCACGAAAAGAAATGGCAGAGAGATAGCGACAGCCAATAAGATTCTCTTCTCGCCATTTTCGGCATGCGAGATAGAAACTGAGACGAAGATTGTAGCGATGAGGATTGCGGTGAAAGATACAATGTAGAGCGCTGTGCCAGCCTTGTTTAACGGGCCTGGTTGATAGACTCCAGTCTGGGAGAGGTGGTCACTCGCATGGACTCCACCAATAATGCTAAGGATTAGGGCCGTCAGGATCACCATATCAATGAGCTTGAAAATCCGTGAGTTGACGGGAGTGCGGTGCGAGTTATTGATGCCGTCAAGGAGTCGACTAAGGAGACCAACAGTCGCAAGTTGGAGAGGGGAGAGACCAACGTTTTGGAGGATGGCCGAACCAACGTAAAGGGAGATATTCCGGGGTTGGCTGATAGTAGCAAGCTGCATGCAAGGCCCGATAATACGTGCCAGACTGAAGATGACGAGAAATAACCAGCCGGCGCTTCTGTTAAATCCATGGCGAACAGCGAGAAACACAGCAATTGCCAGAGAGGGAACGTAAACAATGATTTCAGCGATCGAAACGCCATTGCGATAGTCGAGAGTCATCTTGAGACTGCGCGGCGCTTGGATGGGTAGAGTTGAGGTCCGGGAAAGGGGTAGGAGAACTGATGTTCGACTTCGGACCGTGTGCAATTTTGGATGTACGCGTGAATGACAAGAGAGAGCTCTAGCAATGGGAGAATAAAGATAATATATATACGTACACCTATGGATATGTAGACTTGCCTACGAAACCAATCTCGGCTTTCGACCCCATCGCAATGATGTGCGTTGTAGGATTAAGCGTTCCGCCGCGAAAGCCATACGAATCAGCCCAATGGAGGCATCTATCTGAATGATCATTACAATATACAAGTAAACAAGGATAGAGGCAGGCAGGGGTACAGGTTGTTTATGTCAAAGACTTGCAGGGCATTTATGTCAAAGACTCCCAAAGTCTCAAAGCCTCACAGCCTTAAGAAGTTAAGATTCCCCTGTTTAGGATTAGCACGCCGGGGGGGAGGACGGTCAGCTTACCTTAGTCATCACCCGCTACCCAGCCCGTTTCCTCTTTTGGTATGCTCTGCGAGAATCTCCCAACCCGCCTCAGGCTCAGCCTCTCTATGATCTCTCTCCGCGTTAAGACAGCGTTTGGCTTTTATATGCTTTTCTAATTCCAATTGGCTAGTAGTGCTAAGCTTCCCAGACTCCCAGCCGAAGGGTGGCGCAGCGAAGTATTGCGAAGCTTTTTCCTCTGACACCGCCTGTCAACGGGGAGCCTAGAATCCCGGGGGAAGCAAAATCCACATCACAAAAATACTTCCCTGTTCGAGTTCTACAGTATCTCCTGAGCGTTATATTGATCTATTTTGTTGAATTGCCTCTTTTCTCTCGTTTGTCTGCGATACCTTTCTACAAAGTCTCTTGATTTCTTGGTTTAGGGAGAACTTATCTCCAGCATGGTCTATTGCGGGAAGCCTTCAAAGGGGTGCCGGAATTGTAGAGAGAGAAAGATCAGATGTGAGTGCCGAGTTGTAGCGTTCATATCGTGTGCTTTGTGTGCTTTGTGAACTGTGTTGGTCCTTATCTGTTTTCCGTCCAGGACGGGGGCTGACAAGCCACTCAACAGGCGATCAGGCAGTGCCGTCCTGCGGGCAATGTACTAAAGCCAATAAGGAGTGTCCAGGATACCGGAATCTACTCGACTTGGCTTTCCGGGATGAAAGTAGTAGTGTAATCAGGAAAGCCAAAGCCAAGGCTAGGAAGTCTTCGTCTCCTCCCGCTCTCCTACCCCCTCCTCGGGACTCGAAAGCCCCTCCTCATGTGGAGCAGACATCCACTCGTATACACGCACCTGAGACTGATCTTTCAGACGTTTCAACGGACACTAGCTCGTCGTTTGCCGGAGCACCCATCATCAACTGCCCTGAAGCACACGCCAACTCGATCATCTCATTGACCAATTCGGATAAAAATGAAGAAGCAGTCCAGTCAGCTCCAGCACCTCATTTTTCTTTACTCCCATCCGCAGAGGAGGTTGGCATCAACTGCTTTTTTAGCAACTTTGTTCTAGAACCCTCAGGCCCTAGCCATGGCCATTTTTCTTATATTCCAGAGCTCTGTCGTCAGAGTGGACTGGACGGCGCATTAACAGCCAGTATGAAAGCTGCTGGCCTCGCCATATGTGCAAATACTACCAAATCACCTGAATTAATGAGACAAGCGCGGCAAGGATATGTGACCGCTCTTCGAAAGATCAACTCCGCCCTTAGGTCTCCGAAAGAGGCAATTCGTGATACCATACTACTTTCTATCATGGTCGTCAGTATCTTCGAAAACTTAGCGGGCTCCAATCGACTATCTCTTAAGGCCTGGACAGAGCACATAAATGGAGCTACAGCTCTCCTAATACTTCGGGGCCCCTCTCAACTCAGAACTGCCGCGGGATATGGTCTGTTCATAAATGTGAGCTCCCAGCTTCTCATCAGTTGCGTTCTGCGAGATATCCCAATGCCTCCCCAACTCATGAAATTGCGGCTCGAAGCTTTCAGCCTCCTTCCATCCGACCCAGGATTGCAATTTGCGAAGATAATGGATGAATTTACAGCCTTTCGTGCAGCTATCACAAACAGAACATTAACAGACAACGAAGCCATCATCGCTCAGGCATCGATATTTGACAGCAGAATCGCGAGTATCTTCGCAAAACCTCTATCTGGATGGCTTTATGAGACGGTCCACACAGATGCCGATCCGGAGATTATCTGGAATGGAGCCTACGATATTTACTACGACCAGTGGGTAGCACAGATGTGGAATTGGATGCGAGCATGTCGGATCATGATCAATGAAATCATAAGATCCCGTCTCCTTCAAGGCTTTGAATCCATCCCTCCACGATTCACGACCCCAGAATACACCGCCAAATTCCAGCACTCAACCGAAGTCCTCATCAATATGCGTGATGATGTTCTCCGCAGTATTCCCCAACACATCGGATACGTGACACGGAAACCCTTCCCCTATCCCATCTCACCTCCATATACCTCATCTCCGGGCACCATCTTCGGAGACGTCTTCAGCGATACCTCATTCAACGAATTCCTGAACGGCATTCCCAGCCCCCAAACGCCGAGTTCTCCCCCACGCATGCAACCCGCCCCAGGAATCGGCGGCTACCACCTGCTGTGGCCACTCCACGTATGCGGCGTCTCGCAAGTCAGCACGCCCGCCGTCCACAAATACGTTCTCCGTTGGATGCGCTACGTCGGGGATACGATGGGTATCAACTCACTAGCGAACATCCTGGCGGCAACTCAGCTCATGAATGAGCAGAGGATTCAGGGGCAGGGGCAGCATCAGCCCTTAGATCCGCTAGCGCCGGGAGAACATATGTACCAGTGAGGATGGAGTGGAGTTGGGACAGCCTGTTGATTGATTGATTGATTGTTATTGCTTTGCTTTGCATTGCATGGGATTCCAGAGAGCCGCTTGCTCCAAATGCGGAATGGAGGATCGTACTGGGAAGGAAATGAAAGAGATGTTAATGATTGATGGTACATACCTAGATGGATGCATTTCGTATGATCAGCACAGAAGGAAGATAGATGTACGTGTAGAGTATTTCAAACCCAATATCTCAAAACGAGAAGTATTCAGTGTAAGACTCTAGAGGCGGTTTGCACAGGAATAGCCACGGCAGCTAGCAGATTCACACAATCCACGAGATATGGGATATAACGTAATCGCAGGAGCGATTCTGGATTTCATGATTTCAAAGAAATTGTACATGTTTTAAACGCTACCCAGGAACCCAACATCTAATAGTACATACCATCATGAGAAAAATTGAGAACAGTCACATCAGCTAGCTATCTTTCGCCTCTCCAACGAGTCTCCCCCTTTCTTCATCGCTGCCTTCTTCCGACCATCTCTCCCCATCCTCGTTCTCATCACCCACCGCAAAGATAGTCTCTCCATCAAGACTCTCCCTCGGAATTTCCTTCGCGGTGTTCGATGCCGGGGGAGGATCATATCTCGGACCCTCTTGTCCGGACTCTGTCCTGTCCCCTCTATGCGCAGCGGCATTCTCGTCATCTTCCTCATCCTCGGCTCCGAAGTCCGCAATCTCAAATCCTTCATCATCTTGCGCTAGCTCGTCACTCATCGCGAATCTGCGGTTGTTCGCTGTCGGCCTCCAGACATACGCAATGAACATGACATCAGCGAGATAGACTATGTTGAGCCAGCCGTCGAGGATGAACCAGCGGGTTTTCCAATGGAAGGGTACGAAGTTCGGATCTGTGGCTGAGACGAAGGTGAAGGAGTTGAAGCCAAAAAAGCCGACTATGATAACAAGGATCGAGGTGAGGATGCACCACCAGAGCTTGCGGTACATGAGCATCTTCACGCTTTGTTTGCGTTCTTTGAGATCTTTCAAAGTGAGGTTAATGGAGTTGAGTGTCCAGACGTAGAAAGCAGTCAACGTTCCGGCCAGGGGCAAAACGACGAGGAGGACGAGAATGCCTGTATTTTGATGAGTAAGATGCCTTGAAATGTGGAATAATTTGATTTACCTGCGGACTCAGGGGTGATCGTTAAGCTTGCAATTGAATAGATCAGACCAAAGACGAAGTGAGCTCCAGCTAGCCATCGAACATAAACCATGGTCTTTCCCAAGCTTGGCTTGACAACGCCATAGCCCATGCAGACAATCAGAAGAAGGAAGAAGGAGAATGAGTTTCGTCCTGCGTTCAAGACTGCAACTACAATCATCAGAACTTTGGAGCCTACATTTGAACCATGTCGATTCAAGTAATCTAAAGCTGTCAGCGAGTGCATTAAAGAACAAATCTGAGCCCGCATACCATAGAAACCCCAAGTCATCAACATTTCTATGATCAGGAAGATTATGATTGCAGTAATATAGTTTTGCACCGCCACTAGGACCTTTTGTAAGCATCTTGGCATAAACTCGGACAGAAGGTATCTTACGAATATCATGTCTATGCTGGACATATAGGAACGCCCAGAATCTATATGCGAATTAGAGGCTTTAAAATCATCTCAGAACAGTTGCTTAACTTACGCTCCGATTACCGCATAGACAATTGTGATCCCACCGTAGAAGGGGAGTTTAGCAATCTGAGCGGCCGGCAACTCTCCATAGGCGTTGCGGAACTCCACCGTCGCGGTATACTCGACCCCATCAGGATTGTACCCAGCCGAACCAACACAGTAGTATCCGGTCTTCTTGATCTCGTAGTTAGTGGGCAGACCTGGATCCTTCAAATGGATCGCTTGGGTATAAATCAAATTCGTCGACCTTTCGGCTGCATTTTCCTCCAAGAGAAATTGACCAGTCTGATTCTCATTGCACCACCCATTATTGATCGTTTCCGGATCGCAGATGTATTCCTTCTACTATAGCATTAGACTCTGGCCGAGATACTGAAGAGCCCCTTTCCAAGAACCTACCACAGCTGAGTCTGCCGTTGGCAGAACTCCAATCAAGTCGTAATCCTTCCATTCAAAAATTATCATGCTGGCAATTGGGTCCGTATCATTTGGTGCTGTGTTCTGGTTGAACTTGACAAGTATATGTGGCTCGACCGATCCCCCCCATGCCTTGCGACTGTACATGCCGGCGCATACCTGTCGATTATCGTTGGACTGGTCCTGCAGAGATTATCAGAGGTATTTTTGCAACGGTACACCTCTTAACTAACCACCTTTACTTCCAGTGCGCTGACTGTCATACAAGACAGTCCAAGCAGGAGAAGGCCATGAAGCCAGTTCCTCATCATTGCGTCTAGCCTCGCGGAGGCTGGGAGGCTGAAACGAGAGATTCTCCTATTCCTCGGGGGAGAATCTGATGAGATGGAGTAGTTTAGAGCGCAGGAAGCAAGTCCATCCAAAGTAGGTTCACAAGGTCCTTGAGAAGGTGGGATTCGATCAAAGGACACGTCTGTCGAATGATGAAGGTTTCTTGAAGTCTCAAGCTCCGAGACGCCGAATCAAGAGCGATGGGTACATGTAGTCCGTACAGTACAGAAATACGCTCCGTCAGCCGGAAGCACGGACCACCGACGAGGCGCAAAAGCCTTGTCAGAAATATTTGACGATAACTAACTAGGTACGAAGCATTACCTGTTCCTGCGATCCTTCTAAGAGAAGATTTGCGAGGTTTGCATAGAACCTGTATTTGCCCTGCACAGCATGGAGGATCCAGTAAGTCCAAGAGGCGCGGCTCCTCCGAGTAGGTCGGACTCCATGTGCAAGAGATGCGGCGAGAATCCAGCAACACATCGGATACGGTCCGAGCAAGTCTGCCAGTACGCTGATCCCAAATGATTGCAAGACTCCGTACTGACCGGTTCAAGGGGATGCTTTTCTTCATATGTTACGACCAAGGCTGTGAAGCGTATGGAAACATATCGAGTTCGTGGTTCAACAAAAGCTCCAAAGAAGCTCCTCTTTCCACTTTCTTTTGGCCCCTCCTCAGCCTCATTGCTGCATATTCTGGATCATCATCTGCAGGGGCAATACAACCGGATGAACAGAGCTGCCTATGAATTACATGTGGTTCATGTTGACCTCTATGTGGATGCCGCCGACCGGGAGACTTCTTCAACGTTGCTAGAGAAATACAGAAGTCGATACCCGAGACATACGTACTCCAGCGTTGGACTCGAGGAAGCCTTGCTCTTGGGAGACATTAAATGGGGTAGTTTGGGTTTGGAACATCCCCCATCTATGGACTCGCAAAGACCCAAGGTGGAACAATTGCAAGAGCTGATCGGGCTGATGCCATCGGCGACCTCGAGGGCTGATATTATCTCTACATTACTCACTCGACTCCTAGTGGATGTCGCGAAGAAAGCGGGATGTGAAAGCATACTATTCGGGGACTCCACCACCCGTCTCGCAGAAAAGACACTTACAGAGACGGCCAAAGGTCGTGGCTTCTCATTGCCCTGGCAAGTCTCCGATGGAGCAACACCGTACGGTATTGGATTCAACTATCCCTTACGAGACCTCCTCAAGAAAGAGCTCGTATCGTTCTGCTCATTAACCACGCCTCCCCTCACCGATTTGATCATATCTCAGGAATCATCCTCTAATATCTCTGCTTCTTCGAAGTTAACTACCATTGATGATCTCATGGCACAGTATTTTGAATCTGTCGAGGAGAATTACCCAAGCATTGTCGCGAACGTTGTCAGGACATCTAGCAAGCTCAAACCTCTTAATGGCGACAGCACTACAGCCTGCGGATTGTGCGGACTCCCTGTAGAGGAAGGCACTGATGGCATCTACGGATGGGGTGGTGATCAAAACTCAGATTCAAGGCCAACAGGAGAGAACGGTCATCATGGAATTTTATGTTATGGCTGCTCGAGATCAATCAACGGATGAAGAAATTGGCTCGTTTTAAATATCTCAAAAGGTTCTGGACGAATTTTCCAGAGAACCCCCATCAAGAATCCCGACTACTCTATACACCAGATTCGATATTTACAAGATGAAAGAAATCATCGGATAGAAAAAAAAACAGTGCCTCTATCTAGATCTTGTCTTTCAGGGATTCAGGAATGAATCTATCCTCGAACTTCCGCATAAGCTTGTTAGTCTGCTCCGCTAAGCTGAGGGTCAAGATGGTATGAGGCAAGATTCTTGCCAGATGGGGCAGGAATCCTTTGTAGATAGCAAAGAAACCCTCCGTCCTCACTGTCTTCATGAGACAGTCGAATACACCTTGATAAAGGCTGCCGTTTTGGTTATACATACGAGACATGATTGTGTCTAATTCCGCGTCAGTGTGAAAAATCCAGGATATCCCACTTATGCTTACCTGGTGGATGCATAACACAGCAAACGACAAAGCCACTGGCTGTGCTGCTGGCTAGATGTAGCAGAGGGCCCTCCTCCATACCCAGATGCCTCACAAGTCTTCGTTTTGCAAAGAAGTATGTTGGCAGTTGAACCGAACTTCCGAAACCTGTCCGCACCATGGCGGCTCCAACACCTCTGTAAAGCCCCTTGACTCCCTCCGCCTTGTATATTTGTTTCATTCCATCTGCCGCATTCTTGTACTTATGTTGCATCCCAACAGGGGCAAACGACGAAAAGCTTTGCAGCCTCGTCTTGACCAAGAAGAAGGGGCTTCCAGCCGCAGCACCCATGAGACCCGACGTTGCGCCCGAGAAGATGTTGATCCCCAGACTTTGCGTTTTGGGATCGGAAAAGATTGCCGTAGTCAAGGTGCGTCGTATAGGTTCGTAGAAACCCAATCTGCATCCATTGAGGATCATCTGGTAGATATATGCTGCGCCGATTCCGCGGTAGATCCCCCGGATTCCCTCGTTGCGGACAATGACCGAGACGCCATGAATAGGGCCTTTATACATTCGTGGCTGCGCACCCTTCTCTTGCAGCTCGCCCTGAAGTTGCATGCTTTTGCGCTTCCGGTCAGAATATGTTGCAAACGTGGGTTGGAGGGGGCTCTACCGGATCTTCACCGTCTCGAAAGGATGTGTTGCTGTAACAGCCCCGCAGGCTGCAATACCGCCGGATATGAAGGCTCTAGAAACACTGGTCAGACCCAGTACAGTAACGTCGAGTCAGGAGCCTACCCTAGAGTCGTAGCCATCTTGAAAACCCCCTCGTGCCCTCAGAAGGGGCTTTAAAAGGTTCAGGGGAGTGCCAGCTTGTATATTTCCGGCCGCGCAATTTCCACCCAGGGGGAGTGCAACGGTATCTGCACAAATTGGCGACTATGAATCCAGTGGCAGAACTGAAAAAGTTCTTGAAGCTGACTGTGTAGCACAGAAATTTTGTTGTTGCTTTGCTTATTCTATCCCCCGGATTTCGGGGGATAGTCTGTACTTAGGCCTGCCGAAGCCGGCTTCAAAGATTTAGGTCACGTGGACCATGGTTTTCGCGACGCTTACCTTATTCGCTCGAATCCCCGGCTCTTTATATCTACCTTAAGGTACGGTTGATGAACAGAGAATGATATTGTCTGCACCATAAAGTTCTTAAAGGTTGAAAGGTGACATTCCAAGCTGCAATCATGACTTCCACTCCCATGGCTGTCGACTCCCCCATCGCTCCCAATGGGATGGGCTTAAGCCTGAAGCCCAATGGCGCAACAGGTACACCAATCCCTCCTACTGCCAAGCTCACCGACATGATGCCTTTGTATAGGCCGACTAAGGTAGAGTTCTCTTTTCAAGCGTTATAATAATCGGTATCTAACACTGCCCAAAAAGCTTTTTCGCCGTGAACCATCAGCTTCTGCCACGAACAAAGCTTCCTCAGTTCAAAGCTCTATACTTTCGATCAGCTTTGATGACCAGGGCAGCCTGCTTCTCACCTCTGAGAGTGACAACAGCATGCAGATATATAATGTCGTTGAAGGGAAGCACGACAAGACTCACCTAAGTCAGAAATATGGCTGTAACCATGCCATGTTCGCCCATGCCAAGGGATGCATTATTCACTCCAGTACTAAGATAAACAGTACGTATTATCCGTGGCAAGTTTTCTATATGTATACTAATTCTTCTAGACACCATAAGATACTTATCCACACATGATAACTCTTACTTGCGGTACTTCGAAGGCCATGAGAAGAACGTCACGTGCCTGGCTTTACACCCTGGCCAAGATCACTTCCTCTCCTGCAGCGAAGACAATACTCTCCGAATATGGGATGTATCTACCAAGAACGCATGCGGAAAACTCCTATTGAATGGCGCATATCTCACAGCCTGGGATCCATCAGGCAACGTCTTTGCAGTAGCATCTCCCACGGCTCAATCTATCTTGCTGTATGATTTCCGAAACTATGACAAGGAGCCCTTCTCAACATTTGATATCTTGCCCTATTCCCAAGACTCGGTCATCAAAGGTTGGAATAAGCTAGAGTTCTCCAATGATGGAAAAAACCTGCTACTGGGAACCACTGGCCGCAGCCACTTCCTCCTAGATGCTTTCGATGGGAGTCTGAAGGCGCATCTACGACGCGATGAGAGAGGGGGAGCCAGGCGATTAGCTGCTGGCGAACACAATCCAGAACACATAGATGCCAGCTCAAGTGAGTACCGGCTGCCAAGCACTGGCGACTGTTGCTTTAGCCCTGACGGACGATACGTCATCAGCGGCTCAAGGCGAGAAAATGTATTGGTTTGGGATACTATGGCTGCAGCTCAAGATAAGAATCTCAAGCCATGCCACGAGCTGGAATATAAGGGTGACTCGGCTGTCGTTGCTTTCAACCCGAGGTGGAACTTCTTTGCGACGGGCGATAAGGAGGTGGTGTTCTGGGTTCCAGATCGGGATTTGATGACTTCTTGATCTGTGGATTTTCTTGCATTTAACTGTTTGAAGAGAAATTTGCAGATACCCAAATGGAGAAATGGGGCGTTAGGGAATAGTTGGCTAGGCATGAAAAAAATTCCCCTACCACAGTTGGTAGTTTGGGCCGAAGGAGCTCACCCTGATGGGATCAGGTATGGACACCGCCATGTACGGTCCTGAGAGTAGACTGTTCAAGGGAAAATACGCACTATATGGACAGTTACGGAGACTGCAGAAATTTAATTGCTGCCAGCCCTGGGCGGAGCTGGTTTGATCAGCATAATGCAGGAGCAATATCTGACAGCAGAAAATGCTTTGACTGTTCATATAATGCAGAATGAGAAAGATCGGGTCTTTCATATTTACAGATGCAAATAAGAGGTCTCTACCTAGGCTGTGAATAAATACATCAAGTCATAAATCAACAGGGTCATAATACTCTATGTTAACACCTTCCTAGAAGTTTATTTTGCCTTTGACTTGTATATTTGGAAGTGTGGCTCACTTCGTCAAGGTTTTCTCCTCTCCTTTTCCTTTCCAACCAAAGATCTCGAAGTGGGACAGAGCCATATATCTGGACCGCTGTCACTATCATGTACCCGGTTCTCCTCGATTTTCGCTTCAATACTCTTTGCAACACTCCCATTGGAACTCATGGTCGTCTGGCCTGCGCTCCAACCGTAGAGAAACACCGACTGATTGATATTGATCAAGAGTTTCTCGACTTCTGTAACGACTGGAGGAAGACTTGACTTGATGGAATCGAGGTCTATATCAATCACCGCGACCGGAAGATTCCAGTTCGGGGGAATTTGATAATCCGAGAGTTTTTGGAACTCTTCGATGCGTTGTGCGCTTGTCAAATGCGTCTTGTCATCGTCGCCTTGATCGATTAATAATGCAGCCCGTTTCTTTTCGGTCTCGGTGCCGATGATGTTCACAATTTCGTGCATTCTGATGGCCGCTTCACGCGTACATACGAGCTTCCTCTCTCCGCAAGCAGGCCATAAGCTATTTGGTAAAAGCTGGTCCTCGGCTTCCAACCTTATCTGTCTCGCAATATCTTTGTTGTGCCAATCTTTCGGCTCGACCCTTCCATGTGATAGATCACTCACAAATGCGAGGAGAACCGTGCAGTCCAAATTGATCGTTGCCGAAAAGCTTGCAAATCGATCTGCAGCGATCTGAGGGAGAACCTCGGCGACAGGAGCTGACCTCGGTATATCCTCTTCGGTTTGCACAATTACGCCTAATGCCCGGATCTGGTCCAACACATCCCTTACTTGTTTGTGACCATCCTTTCGGACTCGGGGCAACACGAGCCGAATAGTAGGATGTCGATATCTGACCCTGGTTGAACTAGAAGCTTGTATGAGAGTTTTGACCTGCTTGACAAGACCAATTGAATCATCGATTTCTTCTTGGTAATCATCATCGTCATCTGATGATGCTGCATACCCTGCTTTCGCCAAGTCCCATATGATTCTTTTTTCTGTGACCGAAGAGACTTTGACCCATTCTGAACCGTTTTGTGCAACGATATCGACCATTGTCACGTAGGATCGGTTCTGAGCTCTATTATGGGCAGGAGTGCGTCCTTTTGGGTGCAAAGAAAACCATTTCCTGATGGCCGTCACGCCTGTACATGTCTTTGCAGTTGACCACTAGATGATCAAAGGTCAGTGCCCGACAGCTTAGAAGACAAGACATAAAAACCAGAGGAAAGCAGAAAGCAGAAGAGAGGAGAAAATAAGAGGATTATAGAAGGGCGTGCTGTAGCATGTAGCATCAGCGTTAAGACACTGTCTCAAAACTGGAATATAAGATATCAATCTCTGGATATTCCACAGGCATTAGAAGAACATTGGCAAGAATCAGATTTAAGTTATAATCAACTACTGAATCTGTTTCAGTAATTGTCAGTATGGTCTCTAATCAATTATTGACTGAGTTGAGAAATCCTTCAGATGCGACCATCAATATCTGAAAGTTATCCAGTAATTGATATCTTATATTCCAAAATCTGCGGTAAACTTACTGCTCATGCCAAAATCAAAGAAAATGGAGAGTTTATATCTCAGACACTTACCACGTAATCAAAGAAAGTGAAGTTAGACGATCTGAGAGTGTGTGCCGCCTTTTCATCAGTAGCATCCATATTGGAGAACTGTTCCCTGTCAGAGTACAGCTTTCTTGGGGTAGGGAGTCTCGCATCTTACCTTCTCTAGCAGCTTCAGCTCATGCTGAACATCGGTTTTGAAACTGCTTAGATGTACAGTATCTTCTTTTTTCTTTTCTTTCAGATACGTCTGAAATTGCTCTAGCTCCTCAAGAAGTAGTCTGGCACGCTGTTGCATGTCTAAAACATGAGATTCGCCTTCATAGTCTTTGGCAGATTCAACATGACCATTGAAAGAATCCGAAATATCGAGAGAACCCATTTCTCTCTCGACGGTGTCGAGAGACATTTTCCCTAGATAGATACGTCTGTGGAGAAGGTCGATTTTAATCGTTGATTTTCATAAAAGAGTCCCTTTATTCATACTTCTGAAACGTCGCATCAAATAAAAAGTTATGTATCCCCTACCGGGCGAAAAGAGGAAACAAGGCAAAGTTTGGAAATCTCCAAAATTAAATGGTCGTCCAATGTTTGCAGTTGAAGTCCAGCTCGCTTGCAAAACCCCACATTCTCAAAGCTCAGCCTTACATCTCGCCGTTCCTGACTTCACCGCATCGTCTCCTAAGGGGCCCCTCCTTTTCTGTGAAGAACAGCCCCATTTGGCCTTTTAATCCAAACCTGCAGTTGATTCACATCATCAATTCAAGATGCCTTACCTTGACAAAGCCGAGACATGGCTCACGCAATCCACTCTCCTCCTCCAGGCCAGACCCTCCACCGTATGTCCTCTTTCCGGCACCTTACCTTTATTTAATAAGCCTTTCTCCCAATCGGAAAGCCCCTCTGACCCTTCGCAGACACGTATCACAACAAAATATACCCTTCTCGACCCCTCTAAGCCCTCGAAATCCGCATCGCGCAAACCAAAGCCCAGCACCAAAGCCAACAACCCAGAAGACCCCGCCTCAGCTCCTTCAACAACACCGGCACCAGCATCCGAGCCTATTCGCGCGACCCTCACATTAAAGACGTACGATCCGGCTTCAGGCACTACGCTTAAGTATAGCACGACAAAGGCAGCAGAGGTCTCAAGATTAATACAGATCCTGGGAAGGTTGGGGAGGCCGATGGCGGGGCTGCCAGAGGTCAAGGAGGATATTGCAATGGTTGATGCGACGCCGGCGGAGAGCGGGAGTGGTGTTGCGACGCCAGTGCTGGAGACGCCTGGAGCTGCGGCTGGGAAGCCCGGACAAGGCGGAGGAGGTGCGAAGAAAGGGAAGAAGAAGGGCAAGAAGTGAAGCATATACTATAGGTGATGAGACGGGTGCAGATTGCGTGCAGTTGCATGGGGAGGCGTTAGGCGCGGCATTTCTCATGATAGGTAGCTTGCATTGGTCAGTGGAAACATAGATGGATGAGCTGACCTCATCGAACCTGGGGAGAGTTTCAGCGCGGTGTCTAAGAAGGATTCTGAGATCAAGATCTAGAATATTGCACCAAAGCATACAAAGTACAAAATCAAAAGAACAATTTGTAACTTAATAATTCTTTCTATTCAGCTGATATCGTTATCCTATTATGAATCGTAATCCATCATCCTGCCCCAACTCCAGAAACGCCACTCTTGTGAAGATATACCCAGCAAGCACCGTGTTTGCACCGAGCAACCTCGCCATCTATTTTGCAAGGACTCGTAAAAGGAAAGAATATCCAGTGCAATGAATACTGTACATAATAGAGTTCATAACGCCAATGAGCCCAGGTCTTGATGCGAAGAAGTCTAGAAATCTTCGTCGAAGTTGAAATCTCCGCCGTTGTCTGCTTTGGCGTCGGTCTGCGCTGTTGTGTCCTCGTGCTTCTTCTGGGTGCCGGCCATGACACCGGCCTTTTGGTAGTCACCGACACGCTTCTCGAAGAAGTTGGTCTTGCCAGCAAGGGAGATGTTCTCCATGAAGTCGAATGGGTTGGTAGACTTGTAGACCTTCTCGTTTCCGAGGGCAAGGAGCAGACGATCGGCAACAAATTCGATGTATTGCTTCATGAGAGTTGCGTTCATACCGAGAAGAGCACAAGGAAGGGCCTCGGTTAAGAATTCTTGCTCGATTTCGACGGCCTCGGTGATAACAGCTTGGACGGCCTGCTTGCTTGGGCGGTGCTTCAAGTGCGAGAAGAGAAGGCAAGCAAAGTCGGTGTGAAGGCCCTCATCACGCGAGATCAACTCGTTTGAGAAGGTGAGTCCGGGCATCAGACCTCGCTTCTTCAACCAGAAAATAGACGCAAAGGAACCACTGAAAAAGATACCTTCGACTGCAGCAAATGCCACGAGACGTTGGGCGAAGGTAGAGTTCTTGTCCTGAATCCATCTGACTGCCCAGTCGGCCTTCTTCTTAATGCAAGGAACTTCGTGGACGCGTCAGCAAGTAGCCAGTGATAGAAGAGCAAAGATAACTTACTGGTATCAATAGCATTGAAAAGGTATGATCGTTGGGCTTGCTCCTTAATATAGGTGTCGATGAGGAGAGAGTAGGTCTCGGAGTGGATGTTCTCCATCATGATTTGGAAACCGTAGAAGCATCGAGCCTCAGGAATTTGAACTTCACCACTGAAGCGCTCGACAAGGTTCTCGTTGACAATTCCATCAGATGCTGCGAAGAATGCGAGGACATGTGAGATGAAGTAACGTTCGTCATCGGTGAGTCTGTTGTTCCAATCGTGAAGGTCCTTGGAGAGATCAATTTCTTCGGCGGTCCAGAAGGATGCCTCGGCCTTCTTGTACATCTGCCAGATCTGTTGTAATAGATTGTTAGTCGAATCAATTTACGCGTAACGCGTTCAACGCGTTCAAGACGCGACACTAACCTCGTGGTACTTAATTGGGAAGAGCACGAAGCGATGAGGGTTCTCTTGCAGGAGAGGCTCATCTGCTTCCTCTGGCTTTATTGTTGGTGCTACAATGGGCTTCTCTTGTTTGGCTTCCTCCACGATGGGTTTCTTGACTTCGATGTCGACGGGCGCGGCAGCATCGAAAGGAACGTTCTCTTTGCCGGCAGCTTGGAAGTTAAGCTTCTTAACAGGAGACTCGCTCATCTTGAGGCCCTCAATGGCTGAGGCGGCCTATAGTAAACTCAAGTTAGTAACTGAGGTGACGCGATGGTGGAGATCGAAGTGGCAATGGAGCCTGCATACCGTCTTTGAAGGAGTGACCTGGGTGGACATGTTGATGAAGGTAGAGTGATGGATGTGTACGGGACGAGAGGATATAATTGAGAACAAGTATTGAGAACCTGAGTATTGTTCGTGATGAAGAAGGAAGAGGAGTGAGGGAGCGCGTCCGGGCCTCATATGTACCTGCAGCTCGCCTAATCACGTGAGCGAAAACATTTCCAAATCGCGCTAAGTCGCGCTATATCGAACGCGAAGTCGCGGCCTCACGCGTTTATGCGAGGCTGGTACATGGGAGGCTGGCCTTGTTGTGACTAGGGACGCGATTACATATAATGAGCTGATGATTACCATGACACATTCTTATAACTGCGATCAAATTTACAGCAAGAAAAGTATTAATTATAGGTATACTCAGCAGAGAAGCGCGAAACCGCGACGCGCCGCGGTATGCGAGCAATCCCTTATCTAGAAGAAGACGACGATGTCCTACATAAAGGCTGAGAGGAATTCGAATTTAAGTAGCTATATATCCTTATAATACATCATCAGGTATATCTTCTATTCTATATGAAAGTCGATTTCCGATCTTATTATGCTTAGATATATATCATCCATTGTGCTGGTTTCCATCCGTGCACATATCATATCTAGCCCATGGATTTTTATGATAAAATATACCTAAACACGTTACATTCCCTAGAGCAACCTGCATATGCCGATTCGTGACCCGTGAATGCCAAGAAGATTTATCAGATCTTAATCCTTGTCAATCAAAACAACACGCGTCTCAAAGTGGAGTCAATCATGGTGATAATCAGCCCGTTTTGATCATTATGTGGAGAGCACTTGATGATTATTCGGATTCTGTACCGCGTAGGCAATAGTCCAAGCCACTACGGGGCTAAATAATGGGATATCGAGTTTCTTTTTAGGATTATCGTTCTCATAATGACGAGTACTGTAATTATCAAACAGAAAATCATGAAGAGCCCCGCTCAAAACATCGCGATGTTGATAGAAATCGCGAGAAATTACATCCAAACACAGTACCTGGTATCATTATCTCCTTCCAGAGTTGCCCAATACCGAACACACCAACAATCAATGTCTGGTCTATTCAAATGTGGGTTGCTTCCGGCAAGGTGCTTAATTCGGGCGAGTTGCCACAGCAGGATTGGCTTCTTCCCTCATTTGTAGCTCACTTCCATGTTCAACATCTCTCTCTCTCTTCTTACTTCCAAATCCACTGAACCAACCGCCACCTCTCTCTTGATGAACTCGAGCCTGCGTAGAGTGCGTCTGCCCGTGATTCTCTGCTTGTCTATCTTGTTGCGTCGTTTGACCGGTGTACTGCGGCGGCGGGCCATGTTCTTCTCTCAACTGCCGGTCATATTCGTTGGGATCACTCGGATCAACTGGAGGCGTCGAGTGGCCTTGCGCTTTAAGAGCTTTGGCCCCTTTCTGGCGGAGGTGCTTTTCGAGGACAACAGCATTTCTGGTGTTGGCACGAAATAGGGCATCTGCAATATCTCCTACTAGAGGACATAATCCAAGACCGAAATCCAGAATTATGTTCAAGTACATCTTTGTCTTTACATCTGCTGGAAGCCCTCCTTCGATTTGTTCGCAGGTTCTCAAAACCATGAGAGCCATGAATGCATCGAGGATATCGCCAAAGCTAGATTGGGGTCAGTAACTGTCTCATGGGAAAGAAGTTTGTTTCGTACCCTGGAATAATACCAATGAGTGAGCTCCAACCGAATCTAATTCCGCAGCAATTACAGAGGCTCATGTCGAGATGATATGCCCTCCTCTTAACCTTCGTGAGGACCTTCCCATCATGTTCAGATATGCCCGCTGGTAATGCCTTACGTCTCTTCTTGCCCTTCTTTGAAGGTCTGCCATCTAATCGTGTGGCTGGGACAGTCTCGAAATACGGATCCTATAAAATTGTCAAAAAATCATCAGCAGAGTAATTGAGAGAAGGAGACAAATCGCGAGGAGGAGAGTAATTTATGGCAGATGTGCCAGCACAGAGCAACTTACCTCTTGGCCAAAATTATTCTGAAGAGATTCTCCCAGGAACTTCTTGCCGATGTACTTTGCGATAAAGGACGTCATTTTTGCGATATGCTACTGAGTACTGAGTCTTTCGCGGGTAGAGAGACCTTTTAAGTAGAAAGAAGATGCTGCGACCAGACTCCGCAATTATCGCAGGATGTAGCGCTGTCTTGTCTGCTGTCGCACAACTTGGCTTGGCTGGTAGGCGAACCTTTGTTGACTGTTTCGAAACCCGCCGATAATTCGAGGTACTATTCTTGGCTCATGAGGGAGATACAAGGAATGCTTTATTGGCTATTAAAAGAGAGACAGAAAAACGAGCGACAGGAAGATCATAAGGCTTTATAGAAATTGAATTAAGCTTTCCTTTGTCCGCCGACCGAGCGCCATGATTTCCTGCGGTGCGCGTCGAGTGTATACTTCTAGGCGCATTTCGTCATGCATGTGTGGCACTGTGGCTCAACCCATAGTGTTTGTTTAGACTGCACAGCCACTTATCCAGACGCCACAGTCGGTCCCAATCAGTCGAGAGTCAGGTCGATCCGACGGCTTGCTGGCAGGAAGACACCACATACTCCTCTCAACCTACCACGTTTCCCAAGTTCGTTCCATCCACCAACCACTTATCAGCCTCTACCAAGAGATTGGGAGCTCAATATCAGAAGTCCCCAGCTTCTACCACGCTCGCCACAGGTCTTCAGAGTTCAGCTCTGTCTGATCGAGCTTGCCGGCGCGTCTTCCGCGCCCTACCTACATCTTCGAGTCCTGGAATATGCCAAGGCGAAAACATCACGACCGACACGAAAATGCATTTAGAAGATTGTAAGTTCCCTAGAGATGGTCGCAGACCTTCCTTCGCCCTCCATCTTCTGTCCAGAACCGCCAAAAAGATCACAGCCTCCCGCTCCGAGCTCACGACTGACTGCATGCGCAGGGCTTGACGACCTTTGTGTTCGTTTTATCATAAATCTAGCCCAAGATGACCTCTCCTCTGTTGAACGAATATGCTTCGCAGTTGAAGAAGCGCAGTGGTACTACGAAGACTTTATCCGGCCTCTCGATCCCTCATTACCATCCATGTCCCTCCGGAACTTCTGTATACGAATCTTCACGCATTGCCCTTTACTATCAGCTTTTTCACAGGGAGATCATATGACGGCTTTTGAACAGTTTCTCAAGTACAAGATGCGGATTCCGGTGAGGGGGGCCATTATGTTGAATGAGGCTATGGATTCCGCTGTCCTTGTGAAAGGCTGGAAGAAGGGCGCAAACTGGAGCTTCCCTCGGGGGAAGATCAATAAGGACGAGGATGATTTGACGTGTGCTATACGTGAAGTATACGAGGAGACTGGGTTTGATCTGGACGCTGCAGGGCTTGTGCCGGAAAATCGAGACGTCAAGTATATTGACATGACGATCCGTGATCAGGAATTGCGATTATACATATTCAGAGGGGTGCCTATGGATACTCATTTTGAACCGAAGACTCGGAAGGAGATCAGTAAGATCCAGTGGTGGCGCATTTCGGACCTTCCATCCTTTCAAAAAAAGGGTCACCAGCAGCAGCAAGCCGATGCTGCCGTGAGTACAAACAAATTCTACATGGTAGCACCGTTCATTCGGGGTGTGAGAAAGTGGGTTACGGAGCAGAAGAAAGCTGATCTGGCACGGGCCACAAGCAATCAATATTCATCAGCCGGCATGAGCCACGATGAACTCATGACCGAGGAGGAGCAAGGAGCGGAGTCAAACGTTCATACCCACGACCAAGCTCATATGACTCCATCTGTAGCCGACATCAACCAACTGGAAGCAGCCCTCAAATTTGCTCTAAAGATTCAGCCGCCCACTCAAGGGCTGCAGGTGGAGGCAATTACCGCAATGCAATCGCCTGTCAGGGACTCGGGGCAAGAACTGCTGGCATTGCTCCAAGGGAAGACTCGGGAGTCGGATCAGCCACCTTCGTCGAATTTACCACCTGCCACACCCCTGGATCATACCTACATTCAGGCCCCGGTACCAAAGACACCGCATCACCAGCAGCCTCGACCCCCGCATTTCTCAACTTTACCACCACCTCCAGCTTTCCCGATTCAGCCACCGAATGATACCTTGTACCGCCCAGAGCAAAACCAACAACACCATCATCAACCGAATAGCATTGCTACATTCCCACACAATCCGATGCAAGGCCAACGACCCCCACAGCCGGCACATGAACATGCACGTTCGTATCAATCACAACATTTAGTACACCCCCAACCCTTGCCACCGCAAGTGCAAAGGACTGTCTTCACTGGCGGGCCTGTATACTCTTCCACGGTCTCTCCGCCTACGCAGGCGCCTTTGGCGCCACATGCGAACTCCACGGTCTCTCAGGCACTCAATCCACAGTTCCCGAACGCCCATCCACTGATGGGTCCTTCGATCCAGAAGCAGTCCCCGCCTAAGCTCACCAGCCACTCGTTGGCGCTTCTCAACACCTTCAAGAGCCATGACCAGGCAAGTAGTGCTGCTTCTATTCCAAGCCAGCCTCCGTTGCGAAAATTTGCGCAAGAAGTAAAACAAGGCCCGCCCCAAGAGCTCCCTGCGGAAGTATCAGGGACTCCGCCTGTAGATCTTCTCTCGTTGTTCAAGACGCAGGCAGAACCTTCACCCATCCCGAATTCCAGCACGATGCGTTCCAGACCACCTGTTAGCGAAGCACATCGATCATCATTATTGGACTTGTTCAAAAATCCCTCGGCTCAGACTTCTATTTCGCCACGGCCCGCTGCCGCTACGGCTTTTCCTACAAGCACGACTCCTTCAGCAGTCGAATTGTCAGCCGTTGAACCGCTATCTTCCAATGCTACACCGGCCTCCATTTCCATTGCTGACGGGCGGGACGTGAATCCTCGAGAGAAGAATGAAGTTATACCGGAGCTACACCCCGAATCAAACTTACCTTTCCGAGCTATGTCTATTCTTACTCGCCCTTCTCAACCAAACGGTTCGGATAGCAAAGGAAGGAACGGCGCGGCAGATCAGACGCTATCCAACAAAAAAGAGGCTACTACCAGTCAGAGCAGAAGAACACCATCAAAGGTGTCTTCAGAAAAACCGTTCCAACCTCAGATTCTGAAACGACCGCAGCCTAGTACATCTAAGCCAACGGAGTCTCTTAATCCTAGTTCCTCTGCCTCAGCAGCATTGCCTGTGCAACCTTCTTTCGATCGTCGTGCCAGTCAGACTGCTGACCACAAGCAAACACTACTCTCTCTGTTTGGGAAAGCCCCTTCACCAGCGAATTCCGTAACGATGAATTCGATGAGCGACAGCTTTTCATCATTACACGCTGTTGATCCAACCACGAGCGTACCGGCAAAAACCAGGGTTTCAAGTCTTGCTTCTGACAGCCTCTCACGCCGCGGAAGTCAAAGTGCCCTTTCGCCGGCAGACAAGAGTTTTCTGTTAAGCTATCTAGATAATGTTGCTAAAGGGACGCAGCGTTGAATCCAGGCTCAGGTTTCAGTTACTGAGGAGGCATTGTAATAGAACTGGGCAGATATAAGGGATCGGGTCTTTATCTTGGTAGAAGCTGGCGTTCTGAACGTATAGGAAGCCCTACTTCGGGCCCATGTATTTTGCTGCAGGAGAAGCCAGTTTGAAATCGAACTGGAAATATTCTTCACAGGATCTACATAGTAGAGGCATAGAGTATTTCGTCCCAGTGATTCCTCTAAAGCCGACTATTTTTGAAAGAAGAGTGGCTGGATGTTCGCGACAAGGAAATGTCGTTATGAAGTTTGCGAGGCTACCTGTCTATGAACCCCTTCCCACAAATAGCGAAATAATTAAACCTAAACATAAATATGGATGAACAACCATCTCAAATCTCTCTTCAAAATTCTAGGATTACTAAATCATCGAAAAAGCTCTTAAGACCCCCCCCCCCCCCCCAAAACACAAAAAAAACACAATTTCGTAGCGAGCAATCTGAGAGCTTCTACGATCCGGCTCACTGATTGGGACAATAAATAGGTGTACGAAAAGAAACGGAAAGAGGATGATGAGGATCGGAATTTTGGAGATATATGGAGGATTTCCAGACTGAGGTATCTGGGTTATGTTGGGGTAGGGTAGGGGGTTTGCGCTGTGCGCTGTGCGGCGGTGGGGCTGGCCTGGGCGTTGATTTTGTTACTCTTGACGTTTGTGACACCTTTTTGCTGTTGAAGGTTAGTAAATGGGCTGCTATTGAGTGAGTAGAAGTATGATTAGAGATAGGAGCAGAGGAAGGACTGTCAGAGCGGAAGCAGAACACATCGATCGATGTTTGTACCAAAAGCTGCAGGATGCGAGGATGTTCAGGAACGGCGTTAAATTTAGGTATGGTAGCTAAGGTAGACAGCTTCGGAAACGAATGGGGCTATTCTGCAAGGAACAACCATATGTACATATCATTTTCTCATATATTCATGCTGGCCTATGACGTAGAGCTGCACACATACCCCTCGATATGCATTTTGCAGTCTGTGCAAAACCGGATTTTCAAACTCCGCTGTGGCTCCACCCCACCTACTTAGACTTGTGGAAAGACTTGACCTTCTCGATCTCGTCGTAGCTGCCCATGAAAATACCGGATTTGTCATGGATGCTCTCAGGCACAACCTCCATCATTCGCTCCATACGGCTGTTAAGCGCTTGACCGCCGGCTAGACACAAATCAGTCCTGATTCCAACTGCCGTTAAAATAGTGGGACTTACCATTCTCAAACACCATGGCCATTGGGGCACACTCGTACAGGATTCGAAGCTTGCCCTTAGGACTCTTCTTGTCTGCTGGGTACGCGAAAACACCACCGTACAGAAGTGTTCGGTAGGCGTCTGCAACCATACTTCCGATATATCTGGCGCTGTAGGGTTTGCCACCGTTCAGCTCGGGATTCTTCAAGGACTCGAAGTACGCCTTTGTTTCATCGGCCCAGTAATGCGAGTTACCCTCGTTGACCGAGTAGATAGCTCGCTTCTTTGGAATTCTCATATCCGGGTGGGTAAGAATGAATTCTCCAAGAGAAGTATCCATCGTAAAGCCATTGACAGTTCCCTCCTTCATCGTAATAACCAGCTGGGCCGAAGCACCATACATGGTGAAACCAGCAGCAATCAGCTCGGTTCCAGGCTTCAACAAATCCTCCTTTGTGCCCTTTGATCCCTCTGCCAGCTTGTGAATTCCGAAAATCGTGCCAACCGATACACCGGCATCTAAGTTGGAGGAACCATCAATAGGATCGCACGCTACTGCATAACGGGCGCCCTCGTGCTCGGAAAAGAGAATGGCATTCTCTTCCTCTTCGGAAACTAAGACAGCACATTTTCCGGACGACCGCATGGCGGCGATGAAGATGTCGTTCCCAATGACATCGAGCTTCTTTTGATCGTCACCGGTGATGTTGCTTGAGCCTGCGAGACCCGTGAGGTTGATGAGGGTGGCTCGTCGGATGTAGTAGGCTATGGACTTGAAGGAGAATTGGAGGGCATGGCAAAGTAATCTACAGCAACTTATTAGCACCTCCCCAACGGTCTGAACGGGGAGGTTCTCACGTGAAGTCTCCTGTTGCCTCCTTGTGTTTTGCTTGCTCTTCTGTCAGGAATCTTGTGAGAGTCACAATCTCTGTGTTGACCCTCTCCATCTGAACGTCTTTGTTTGAAGTCATGATGACGGATTGAGGAGGAATATCGAAGAACGCAGGTCTCGGGACAAGATGCTATCAGTGGTTAACTGCTCAAGCTGGACCTCGGGTCTTGCGCGGGGTCGATTCCGGAGCTATGGGTGGCTGGAGCTGTGGGGTTGGATGTGGTATTGGAGCTTGGTTGGTAATTCAGGAAACGTAACAACACTCAACTCTTGGATTAAGGAGAAGGAGGGTGAACTGGCAGAAGTGGTAAAATCGGTCAAAGATGAAGTCAAGATAGAAGCAAAGGTCAGTCATTAATCATATATGTACCTAGGCAGTGTCTTTACCCACCGGGGCCTGCCCCGCGCCAAGAGCTCTCATGGGCGGCATTAAACAGGAGACGTCAATAAGGGGCGATGATTTCCCGGCTCCCCGCAGATCCTCCGTTCGCGCTGACGGGAGATTTCGGGTCGCTAGTCCGGAGCGGATTAGTTGACAAAGCAGCGGAATAAGGTTGTTCCCTCCGGAGGCACTTGGCCTGATTGACCTTAGCGCGTATTAGCCCACAACGTAAAGGCAAGAAAAAATTCCTAAGCTCCAAGCTTTCTTCTTTTCTACATCGACACTTCACCAACCATGTGAAGAACCACAACCAGAGAGCTGCTTCATGCAGCCTCCCGTCTCCAAATTCTCTTCAGCAGAGGTAAGCGGCGCCCTTTCTTTCTTCTCCCCTCTCTTATGTGATGACACACATACAACCGCAAACTAGAGTCTTTGACCTCAAGGGGAATGAAACTTTTGTATCACGTCAGTCTGAACAATTGGGAATTTCCATATTCTACTTGCATCACCTTTCTTGCAAGGCTTTCTTCTGACAGAAGGCACACAGGTCCTGTACCGGCTGTACTCATATCCCAACAAACCGTACTCCACATTCCTCCATGGTGCCGTCCTGGCAATCTCGGTCATCCAGCACCGACCTCTGGAACTGTAAGCCTCTCATTCTTTACCAATCCCCGGGTGCCGTTGGCTATGATGAACATTTCGTGCTTTGCACGCTGGAAATTACCGACTGAGACCAAAAGTCTTCGACGATATCAAATGGCTGATTCTGAGCTACCTACCATCTATCACTCTTAATTGATTGTGTTTCTGTCAGTTTGATACTGACTATCCACAGTGGTTATAGGTATACCAAAGAGGAACGATATTTGAGCTAGGACGTATAAAGGTACGGTAGCTAAACCTTCCTTGCTTCGACTTTACAGCTGTCAAAGGATGAATTGGCACTGGGCTCCGACAGTACTCGACAAGATCGGGGCTGGTTTATGATAGGAGATGCCACTTTGCGGCAGGCCTAGAAAACCTCGCCCACTGATTGCAGCCTTGGATCAGACATGTTTTGCTTTCAGAATTTGTCAGCCGGGATACTTACTCGAGGCATAGACTCCGAGTTGATTTACGCCCAAGTTACAATGGGCCACCATCGATCCATATCAAATCAGCTGCATGAATATATGGATAGGTATGTGAATTTTCGATTTTTCTATTGCCTCCATTTTATGATGAGCATTTTAGATGACGAGTCTGATTCGGGTAACCGATGTTGACACAAATCAAATTATACCATTCATGCCAACTGAACCTTGGTTCTGCACATCTATCAAATCAATGCCGATGTCAAGTCATGTGCTAACAATCAACTTTCAGAGAATACACTCTTCTAGAGGGATGCCAAGTCGTCAGAAGAACCCGTTTGGCATGACTGCTAGATGGTACCAAGACAATGCGTCGACCTGGGAACACAAGCCACAGGTATGTAACTTGTTTCCTACTCCGCTCAATGACAGTCCGCAAGCATTATGATGATTTCGACCTACAAATGACAAGCATATGTCCAAGCCTTACGGCATTGACGAGACTGTCTTAACTGATTGTGCTTCGACTTCTTCATTATGTTGTCATGCAGTTATGAATATAGCTGATATCACTATTAGGGGACCTCAATAGACATTCATATTACACGCGGCCGGGCCTATCTTATTCGAGTTGAGATTGGCAACATCACACCACAAGGTTAGGCCCTGCAATGTTTCGAGTCCCTCGTTTTCAACGCAACCGCCATTTGAAAGCCGGTGCTAAAAAGTTCAATCTTCTGGTATGTCTTCCTATATTTCAGACCCCCTCCCTGCGCTCTTCTTAAATGATGATCAATTTTTATCACGACGGTCAACATAAAGCCACACGTTGGTATTGATGAGACTGCCTTTGACAAGGCTGTAGATCTGATAATATTTGGAGCCTCTTTTCTTTGTTAAATCACGTACGGAAGCAATGCATTTGCTAACGTTTCGAAAAGCATCCAGAGTGTTGAGTGGGATATGATGAGGATGGGGAATGCCAAGAGACCGGCCGTCCGAGGTGTCATTGGGACTGGGCAAAAGACGGATAGGCATGGGATATGATATAGAGATACCTACCCAATACCTATCAACATTCCCCCTGAAAATGCATTTCCTGGAATACAGCTTTCGTGGCCCCTATCTATCTTATATCTTGTGAGACAATCCTGGAATAGTTCCCCTACCTCATAATATCCCCCAAGACGATTACCTCAACCCTATGATTTCCATTTTCTTTTCCAGGATTTCCCATCTCAAAACAGACATGACGTAACTACATTTTCCTATATTAATATTTAAGATACCTTACATACATACATATATCTCAGGGTATCTACCTACCCTCAATCCCTCAATCAATCAATCAATCAATCAATCCACATATACTCCATTCCACCCACCCCACCCCACCCCACATTATCAACCATGCATTCCTTCCTTCCCTCCTCATAAAATCTCAAATCCTCATCTCCCAACCAAAGCGCCATCTTGTATTATGCTTGCCCCAGAAACGCCCATCTTTTAGCCGCTCGCATACTGCGGTGTATTTATTATGTTATGTTATGTTATGAAGAAGAAAGGAAAAGGAGCTCGATATTATTCCTTTCGCATTATGATGAACTGGAGGGGTTCATTCATTTCCTTGTGTCTCGTTTTTTAAATTTCTGCATGCAAAGCCGCCCCTTTTAAAACGCCACTTTCATGTGCCTTTTTATGTTATTTTACCGGAAGCCCGAAAAAAAGAGAAGAGAAGAGAACGGGGCGTTTAGGAAAATGTAACAATAGCTAAGAAGCTGAGAAGGGGTAGAGTCATGAGCGCCAGGTTCAGGTCTAAAGAAGCGGCTCCGAGGGATTTGCTACTGGGCGTAGATGTAGCGGTGTATAGGCCCGTGAGCATTTCCGTGGTGGTCGTCACCGAGACGACGGTACCTGAACTAGAGGCGCTGCTATCGGGCGCGGCCGTTACCGTAGTGCCAGGGGAACTCCAGTCGGAAGAGGCGTCGTAGAGCACGCCGTTGATGATAGCTCCTTGATTATTGAGGATCTTGTTCTTTTCGTCATCCGTGCAGGTCTCGGGGATGTTACGGAGCCAGCAGGTTGGGGAGGGTGAGGTTGGTAACTTGTTGGTGTGCGTTGCATTACTTGGGCCGGTGGTGTTATATACCGAGAGATCAACTGGCTCTCCCGTCGAGACAGAGGTTCCTGTTATAATCCGGGCAAAGACCTCGAACGCGGTTTCGGGTTGATAAGCTGGAACGCTATGTCCAGCATCATATATGCGGCTGAAAGAGAGATTACCGTACTGGCGGACCACCCCGCCGATGTAGGTTTTGTTCGTAATAATTGGAGCGTAGCCGGCAGCAGGGAAAAGCGTGGCATATGATGTGTTCGTTTGGGCTGCAACTGCCAAGGATATGGCTTCTCCGCCGAGCCAGTTACAGATATAGTCGCGGTCACCATACATGAAGCCCACACGTACTCCTGCGTTCAGAAGTGCAGCAATATCAGGAACCAGGGCCTGACGTTCGTAATCTCCAGTGGATGTGAAGGCATCGATGACTTGATAGTTTGTCTGAGTAAAGTTGACTGGTGTGCCAATAGCAGTCTGGAAACCAGGTGTGTTCAGATACTCGAGATAAGTACTTGGTGGGAATGGATCAGGTAAGAGGTGACCAATATCGTACACACTTCTCCCAGCATCGTAATACGGCTCCATCACGTTGGTAGTACAAGTAGAATATGCGGAAGAGCATAAGCTATTGACGACTGAGACGTCCCCCTCGTTTTTCGGATCGTGGTCTGCAACGGCAGCTCGACACTGATTAATGAGATCTTGACATCCCCCAGAGGCATAGAAACTTGCATTGGCCAACTTCGCTCTCGTTGGATTGATTGCTGTCAGACCATAGGTATTGTTGACAGCCATGACTGGATAGAACGGAGCTTGTATAAGGTCGTCGACACAGCCATTGACAATGCCAAGGGAGGCAAGATTGATCGGAATAGTATTGTTCTTGGAGATCGTTCCATTTGAACGGCGCAAATTCTGTTCTTCCCAAAGGGTAGCGAATGCTGGCCCGTATTTCCCCCCATAGCTTTCCGCAAACAAGTGGACGCCCACTGAAGTACCATTGGGAGAAGTGTATTCCGGGAAAGCGCTGAGAAAGCCTTGAAGCATATGCCAAATAGCCATTGCGGAAATTTCGGTGGTATTGGCAGTGTGATTAGTGTTAAGTGAGCTGAAAGTGCCATTCAAGAACGTATCTGCGGGCTGGGAATTCGGGAGGGATTGACTTGGGGTATATAGATCAGACGTCAAGAGATCGAGAGAACAGTTTGTCGGGGTGTCGTATGAGAAGCCTACTTGATTTGGCTGAAAGCATGTCAGTCACCGAACTTGGATGACAGGCCTTCTCTGGGGGGGAGGGGGGATAGCGAGCTAATTGAAGCCGTGTTTCCACGAGATCAATGGCTCTGCAACAAGACTTAGGCCCTTCTATAACCATCGCGACGATGATGTTGTATCTGGGAGGCATCTCTCACTGCTACACCGACCGTTGGGGGCTTTCGAGAAATTCAAACACTTCATGTGTGAATGAAACATGAACTCTCCTACCTGATCAATATAGAGTATATTCGATGCTCTGTCCCACCCCCAGTCCCTCGCAATCGTTCCAAATTCGCCCTGCGCAATCTCGATAGCCTCACAAGGACCATTCTCCGTGAACAGACCGATCATCGAGCTGGAGCCTGGCCCGCCATTCAGCCATATGGTGAGCTCCGTGGAGGGGTTTCGAGCTGCAATGAACCAAAAGAAGGTGTTTGTCGCGTAAGTCCCCGGGATGTTGACCCATCCTGTGTATTGTTGCTGAGAATCGAAAACTGTCTGGCAGGTGCCTCGCGGCGGGACTTTGTAGGAGATGGTGATGCTCGGGTCAACGGGGGAAACGATTGTGGTTAAATTCGAGACGGGAGGAGGATACTGAGCGAGTGTGAAGGGAAGAAGAAGCGCGAGGAGGAGGGCGATATACATGATCGCGCAATCATGTTTTGCTGAGAGGGGGATTGAGCCTGGAGGGATTGAGAAGCGTAGTTAAACAAGTGGAAGACTCGAGCGAGTTGAGTTCGGGAGTGGAGCTGTGGAGTTGTGGAGTTGCGGAGTTGCGCTTGCTTGGCGCTGGACAGTCCTACATTGTACAACTCCTTTTCTTATTTATCGTCAACAGACAGACGTAAGGTAGGAATATGCACGATCCTCACCCCTTGAGAAGTAAGTGGTGTATTGACTGATATTCTTCCTCTTCGTATGTATCTATTCATCTTTGCGGTGTCTTCCAGCCATCCTCGCATACCTAGTTGCACAGCCTTGACCGAAGGGCCAAGACGGCTTGTTTGTTGCAAAACATGCGGTAGTAACAGGGGTCTCAGCTGAGGCTGAAAATCTGCTCTGTTATATTTCTTACCGTTTCTCATTGATTGCGATTCTTGTTAGAAAGAAAAGGAAATCTGCCTTGCTGAAAACGGATGGTTTTAGATCACGAGTACGAGGGCTTCATCCACCGTCCATATACCTCCACCCGTATATCTGGAAAATGGCCTCTGCTCCAGACATTATCACATATATTGGCGTGCCCCTCGCAGTCCTTGGGGTTCTACCAATTATTTACAATACCATCTCAACTCTTGCGACGCTGGCCAAAGTCAGGCGCATGCTCCGACGCAGCCGTCTTGTAGGCATCACGAGAGGGGATGTGGTCAACCGCGTGATAGAGGTAGAGCTCCCCCGCTATACGCTTGCCCCTTTACACCGGGAACGAGAATATAAAGATTACTGGCGGCTGTCCGATTACCCAAGCCGGATCCCAGGAGGCAGTTGGACGATCTTCAATTGGAAGTCCAATGCTATTGGCTTGAAGACTCAGCGGCTAGATTACTCTGATCAACTTCGACAGCCGCAAGCCGAGATAGGATTCGAAGAACTTCTTAGCTTCCTTCTCGATCTGGGAGCTGTCCCGGACCCCGTAGGTTTCCGCATGCTGAGAACGAGTGGACTCTGGATACCGGCAGGCACTCCTCTTCTCCTCTCGCCTGATCGAACTGAAAAAGTCCTGACCATTGCCCCTTTGGATGATTCAGATGGACATCTTTCACTGGCGGTTTACTGGTCTTCAAATTGGGATATGAGAGACCAGAACTCTCTACCTCCATACTGGGTTCTGATCAAAGGCATACCCCCAACTCGACCTGTCAGCAAAGTCGATGGTACGGCGGAGCAACCATCCGATGGGATAGATGGATCTACTGTCTCTGTTGAGGTCAAAGGATCCACAGCATTGCAATACATGCCCCTTGCTCCACCGGCTATAAGGTGCCAAGTTGGGATCAACGGAGTTATATCTGCCGTTCCCGATGATTTCGATGCCCAGATGTTTGAGTCACTTGACGTCCGCCATCTGGAAGTTGATGAATCCGGCCTCAACACCGCGGGGATCTGGTTCGCCAGTGCCCTTACAGCACTCAGCACCTCCTCCCAAACCATTCTCTGGAACTACAAAATCCCATCCGACATTCTGGCCTTCTCCAAGAAGGACACGATTCCCTGCGGGATTCTCGTGCTCCTAGATCTTGTCGAAGAATCTGCGACTCCAGAATGGGCGACGAAGTATGACGATGAGGAAGAGGAGCGCGAGGCTAAGTTCCGCAAGATGAATGAACAAGCGAGGGCTGTGCTGCGAGAGAGCCAATTGCCCCCGGACCAGAGGGCCGCGGCTTTCAGGGAGAGAGCTCAGAGGCAGCATGAGGACTGGGTAGCGGGTCTCAACGCGACTCGGAGACGAGACGAGCAACGAGCTGAGACGAGGATGATGGAGGCACTTCAGAGTCCCAAGTGGGGTAACAAGCTAATAGCTGGGAAGGTCCTGCCGTGGCTTCAAAAGGAGGGCCACGTAGATGCATCTCACGACTCGAAGCGCGCGGTGGAAGTTTTGCTATGGAAATTGATTAACGATCCTCCCATGACGAGAGATCTGGCACGGATGCTAGATCAGTGGAAGGCCTTTGTTGATAATGGAGGTCTTCGAAAAGCGGATTATCTGACGCTGAAAGAAAACAAAGTCATGTTTGGTTATGCGAGCCTTCTCCTTGCGGTCATTGAGGATTCTGTAATGGCGGCACTGGGATCGCTGGCTATGGATCTGCAGGAGTGTATAAGAATATGGAAGAGAGTCAGGCTTGGATGAATTGTAGATTGTAAGGAGTTGTAAATGTAGTATACCCCCTGAATCTATGTCTTTTTTGAAGATAATCTATCGCTATGCTATGCAACTATTCAAACACTTTTATGGATGATACTATACAGCAAGGTAACTCTTTCGAGATAAAAGGTACCTATCCCAAATTTTCCTACTCTTACAAATGCGCGCTCCAGCGCTCGCGGACCTAGCAATTGAGCTGAAGAACCCGAATTCTTCTGCCACCCTCATGATAGAAACCCCCCTCTTCTCAGAGTTGAGCCTTATATAGATTTACAAAGCTCAACCCTTTCTCCCCGTCTCCCACTCAGACCTCACTCATCCTTCCTGATGCCAAAGAAATAATTACCCACCTTCTCACTCCCCTTGACTCTCGTCCAGCCCAATCCGGGCACATAAACAACGCCCATAACCCTCGGGCTATTCCAACCCCTCTCCCTCAGAAAATATCCCCTCAGCTCCTCCTCATTGATATACTTCTCCCAATCATGCGTCCCCTTGGGCACAATCCCCACCACATCCTCCGCCACCACCTTCGTCGTCAGCCAACTAGTCCACGTCCTCGCAATCGTACTCATGACGATCCAGCCCCCGGGCTTCACAAACTGCGCGCACGCGTCGAGGAAATCCGCCGGGTGCGTGATATGCTCGATGACCTCGAACAGGGACAGGACATCATACTGCTCGTCGGGGCCGCGCGGCCGCGGCAGGCCCTCGATCGACGTATTCAGGTAGGTCAGCTTGCCTTGCAGGGCCGGGTCGCGGCGGGCGTGGGCCTTCGCAACGGCGAGCACCTCGGGAGATGGGTCGACGGCGGTCACGCTCGCGGTGCTGGGGAGCCGGGCGGCGCTCTCGGCGAAGATCCCGCCGCCGCAGCCAATGTCGAGAAAGCGGAGGTTGGAACCAGGCGGCGTGGGCTGCGAGGCGTGACAGCTGCGGATGAAGTCGTGGCGGAGGGGGTTCATGAGGTGGAGGAGGCGCGAGGAGCCATGGGGATCCCACCAAGAGGAGGCGAGGGCGTTGAAGTGCGAGACTTCGATGGGATTGACGGATGAAGCGGTGCTTTGAGAGCGGGATTGGATCTGCCACTGGGTGTGGAATTGATTCTGGACGAAGCGGGGGGTGCCGCGGAGGAGGAGATGGAGGTTGCGGAGGGAGGTGGGTTGGAGAGGCATTCTGGCGGAGGGCATTGTCGGGGATTGTCACAGAACTGTTGCAACCAACAAACTGTTCGCGCGTCGGTTGTCGAAACGAAGTTATATCCGTCAATGGGGCCAATGAGGCCGATTGACTGGTGAGCAATGGATGGTGTTGATGTTTATCCCCGTTGAGCCGCCTTTACTACAGGGCTGGATGGTGCCATCCAGATTACGGAAGCCAATACAAATCCGCTGTCAGCGAAGAACTTCCCAAGAGCGAGCGAGCGGCCTCGGCCTAAACCCCCCCATCTCGAAGTCTTCAACTTTAACCACGACGATCCCTTCATTCACCTCGCAATTATTTCCTTCTCTCCTTCTCTCCCTCTCTCTCTTCAACCTCGTCCGCCCTCTTCTGTTCTCTTATATACAAGACGTCTTCTTAGAAAGGAAAAGGAGTGAAAAGAACGCCCTCCCCTCCAAGCGAATTCAGTGTTAAGCGGGGCAATCCTCTCCCGCTCCTCCAGACACTCACACACCTTCAAGATGCCTTCCGCTGAGGTTGCGTCCCAGTTCAACTCGATTGAAGAAACAATTCAAGCATTCAGTAGGTTGGGTCCATCAGTTCCCTCGCGCTCCCTTGAATTGGCGCTTCCCCCACCTGTTCTCCGTCCCCCCTCGGCTGACCACCCCGCGCTCCCAGAAAATGGCGAATTCATAGTCGTCCTCGACGACCTGTCGCGCGAGAATGAAGGCGACCTGATCATAGCCGCCTCGGACATGACGACCGAGAAGATGGCCTTCATGGTCCGGCACTCGTCGGGGCTCGTGTGCGCGCCCATGACGCCCGCGCTCACCGAGCATCTGGACCTCCCGCAGATGGTGCCCAGCAACGAGGACCCGAACCGCACCGCGTACACCATCTCGGTCGATGCGAACGCGCCCGAGACGACGACCGGCATCAGCGCGCATGACAGGGCGCTGACGTGCCGGACGCTGGCGAGCCCCACGGCGACCAAGGCGAGCCTGCGCCGTCCCGGTCACGTATTGCCGCTGAGGGCCAAGGAGGGCGGCGTGAGGGAGCGCATCGGCCATACGGAGGCTGCGGTCGAGTTCTGCAGATTGGCGGGCAAGCCCCTGGTGGGTGTCATATGCGAGCTGGTGGAGGATGGGGAGCCGGTTGCGGGTCAGGCGTTGATGCGGGAGCCGGGCATGATGCGGAGGGACGGCTGCTTGGCTTTTGGAAAGAAATGGGGTCTGAAGGTGTGTACGATCGAGGATCTGGTGGCCTATGTTGAGAAGACGGAGGGGAAGTTGGTGAAGAATACTAACGGAAGTCATTGATCGGATTATATGACTGCATTAAAAAAGAAAAAGAAGAATTTGATTTGTCCCCCACGGGGCCTATACAGATATATTTGAGAGACACTGCTGAGTCGCTGTTCAATTTCATGTGATACTTGATACTATTCTCCTAATCTTTGTTCAAACTCCTTAAAGCACCAAGCGGGGTCAGCTTTTATATCCACAATAACCACTCAGACAGATTCTACCAATCCTGAATCTAGTCTTCATTTTCTCCCCAACCCAGGCACTGAGAACTATTTTCAATCCATCTTTTCTTTCCTTCTACAACCTTTCTAGAAAAGAAATCTCGTCTTGGGATCTGTACCTACCTAGGCCGTAGAACATGATAATCAAATCTCCCCCCCCCCCCCCCCCCCCCCC